ACAAAACGAGGAGAAACTAGGGCATAAACTGCAATAGTAGAGTTTATGCCTGGTCATGTGCAAGAGTTCTTATATTCCCCCCCCCAAGAAAAGGAATATTGGCTAAGTAGTGGTGGCACCCATCTTTGATCCCAGCATTTGGGAGGCAGAGGCAGGTGGATCTCTGTTCTAAGACAGCCTGATCTACAGAGCTAGTTACTGAATACACTGCTTGAAACATTTTGGAAGTAGAGATAATCCCCTCCCCAACCTTGCTGGGGGTACAGAGGTCCTAGTACTTGGAGAAGCACTATGGAAACCAGGAATGTTAATCTCACAGAGGTGTGTCCTCAGCGAAAGAGATACAAATCCAATACCTGCATCCAGAAAGTAAGAGTAATGACCTGATGAACTTTTGCTAGCTGTAGGGACAGACCTCACCCTAATTATCCAAAATAATTATTCCAGCCTCTTCCCTCCCTAGAACCATCCTTGGAGTCATTAGTACTTTGTGGCCTGCTGACTTCTATGCCATTGGTCAGAGACCACACTATACTAGGCCTAGTTTAGCTATAGACTCCACCCTCATGTTCACAAATACTTTGTAAAAGAATTTCTATGAACTCACACTTTATGCTTTATTGTGCATATGTAATTGGACTAACTGTTGCCTGGAAACTTCCCCAATTGTATTGTTTTAAATATGGTGATAATGAACTGCCTGGTAACTGCCTCCTTTAAGTCTGATCCAGGTTTGCAAATCAATCTGCAGAGTTTTCATTCTTATTTCTTTGCTGGGTTCACTTCCCTGCCAGGACACCTAACTGCAGGGACCCCCTTGGTACCTAGCATTGGCTTTCTCTTTCCTTCCAGTATGTACATATGTATGTGTGCTTGTACACAGAGGCTAGAACTTGACAATGGATCTCTTAATTCTTTTCCTCCAGACAGAAAGTAAAACCTACCCTGAACCCAGAACTCACCGGTTCTGCTAGTATAGCTAAATTCAGTGGTCCTGTCTCTGCCTCCTGGAATTGCAGGTGTGCTGCCATGTGCACCTGGCATTATACACCAGTGCTGGGGTTTGAAATGTGGTCCTCACATTACCGCCTGCCCAAACTAATGCTTATACATGATGCAGGTAAGCACCTACCAAGCTACATATGCTCCTACCAGAAAATACCAAGATCGAGAGATGCCTCATCAGTTAAGAACACTGGCTGCTGTTCCAGAGAACTCTGGTTCAATTCCCAGTGCCCACATGGAGGCTCTTATCTGCCTGTATTCCAGACCCAGGGGGAATCAATGCTATCTTCTGGCTTCAGTAAACCCGCACATACTCTACACACAAGCACAGACAAAATATGCATACACATAAATCCAAAACAAATGAAAAGCCACAGAGACACAACTCCTTAAAGAGCCAAGAGCAGGTGATGGAGCAATGGCTCAGTGGTTAAGAGCATCTGCTGCTCTTGCAGAGGACTAGGTTCAGTTTCCAGCACCCACACAACGAAGCTCCAGAGGATCTGACACCCCCTTCTGGTACAGGTACAGACACACATACAGGAAATAAACAAAAAACCCTGTGCTGGTTAGTCTTTCTGAACTTGAAAAGCACCTGGGGGCGGGGGAGTCAATTGAAGAATGACCTCTGTCAGAAGGGAACTCTTTGGGTATTTTCTTGACTAATGATTTACGTATGACCCAGCTCACCATGGCTGGAGCCATCCCTGGGCAGGTGGGCCTGAGTTTGTTAAGAAAGCAAATGAACAAGCCAGGAAACAGGGTTCTTCCATGGCCTCTGCTTCAGTTCCAGCTTCCAGGGATCCACGATGGACTATAAACTATAAGCTGAAATACGCCCCCCCCCTTACACACAATTGCTTCAGATCATGTGTTTTATCACAGCAATAGAAAGCAAATTAAAACACCCATATATACAAAATACATTTTTCTAAAGAGAAATTAGTCATGCACACAAAACTAGGCAGTATATACCACAGGAAAAACAAAATAATTGGAATTTAACAGCTAGAGGATATAGTTCAGGGGTAGAGTGTTAAACTAGTATGTATGAGGTCCTAGGTTCAATTCAGAAAAACAGGGCTAGATTTAAATACCACAATGCTATAAAGACTTATTCCAATTTGAACTGAAAAAACATTTGTTATTTAAGGAAATTAGACAATGTGGCTGAGATCACACAACTACTAAGTAACAGAACTGAGATTAAAGTCCAACTCTAGTTTTGGAAATGGAAAAGCTGAACAAAAAACCTAGAAAGATGATTAAAACCACTGCCTTATTTCTAGAATGTCAGCTCAAGGCAGTCTGGTTTTATACAGTAAGAAACAAGGAACATTAAGTTTCAAGGAAGAGACATACATTCTTGTGTTCTCCCTGGAGGTTAATAGAGCACTGTAAAGCAGAGCATCTGGAGTGTAGTTCTAAGACAGCCCCACTGGAGGAAGTCAACAAGGAAAGAAAATTCTCACATCTATAGACTCAGAAGCAACCCTGCCCCCATGCATGTTTTATAACACCTCCAGCTGACTATGTTGTACACTTCAATCTGAAAACCCTTCTTCTGTCTAGATAGCAAAGATGCTACACCATGCCCGCTTTTTTTCTAAGACAGCTTATGCACTGGCCTTGAATTCCCAATCTTCCTGCTCTACTTCCTAAGTGCTGGGATTACAATCGTGTAACACCACACATCCTCTCAACACAAATGGTTTAGCAACCACTGAGAACATACAAAAACAACTCTACTAAGCTTGAACGACCAACTAGTTTTGAACCTGGTTACATTTTAAAATCCTAACTCCAAACTTCTAGATGTCTGCCAAGGATTTGCACAGCATCCTTGAAATAAAGGTCTCCATTTTCCTCTACTGTGCTGAGGAGGTAGCAGCCTCATTATTTTAGTAAAAACACACCAAAAAAGAGATGTAGCTCAGAGGTACTGCCTGCTTCCGTGGACAAGGTTCAACTCTTAGCACATCAATCAAAACAACTCTTTACTCCAAATTTCTACTTGTTGAATCTAACCACTCCCATGACCAGTTCTGCACATACCCGAGTTTTAAAAGAATTTAGTACTGCATCTTACCAAGTTCACATCAACAATAATCTACACTCACCACTACCTTTCTTTGCAATGCCACCCTCTTCCTTCCGCAAGCTAGCCCTGGTATTTCAAGTTGACAGATGTTTCTCTTGGTTAGAACATTTTGTGTATGCAATTTCTACGACCTAAGGATCAAAGTCCGGGCCAGTATGTGCCCTATTACTAAACATTACACAACCCCAGCCCTCTCCAGGTATTACTTATCTAAAGCCTCGGACCTTTACCAACCAATGTTTTTCTTCTAAATCTGTCAAGTTAACATTTACACAGTCAACTACAGTTGTAAAATGGCCATTCGACTCAATGCTGAGGGGAAAAAAAAAAGTCTTCTCTTGCAAGGTAAATCACAAAATTATTTTGTTTTCTTACTTATTGGTCGAGAAAAATAAACATTACTCATAAGGCTTTGACCATATTGCCATTTCTGAGTGACTGTAGGGGGAAAAAAAAACACGGAAAACCAATCCAAGACATGAACTACCAACGTAATATTCAAGAGATTGGTGTCACCTGGTTACATCTGGAAGCCACTGGGCAGTTAAACTGGGCCACTCCAGGGCATGGGTCATCACCAAATCATAAAGAAAAGGGGTGTTCTTCTTCCATATTTTGTACTCCTCATTGATCACACGTTCTTCCACTGCATCGTCAAAGGCAGCTAAAATGTTTTTAAAAAACAAGTTAAGTTAGCGAACAGAAAGGGAAAGCGAGCAAACCTCTTCTGGCCACCGGCGCAGCTCCGCGGTTCTGCCACTGAAATGGAGATTCGTCTTAATCTCCCAGGGCACAGGCACCAAAGCTACTCTTGGCCGCGGAGGGCCGGAAATCCTCGGGCCACCCCAGCCAGACACTCCGTTACTCGTCTGGAGCGATGCTGCCCAGCTTCTAAGCACACTGGCGCGCCAAGTCCACAAAACCTAAAAGGAGGCCGGCGCATCGGGCCTGGAGGTGGGGAGCGGCGCCCCGAGTCCCGGCAGGCAGAAGGACCGACAGGGAGCGTCGCACTCACCCGGGCCCAAGCGCTGGCGTCGGCCCGCATCCGCTCCCGAAGAGCCAGCGCGCCGTTAGCCCGCCCCGCGGGGAGCTCCCTTCTCAAGCCAGAGTTGCTGGGATTGGGCTCGCCAGAGTCGGGCCTGCTCTCCGTATTAGGCCGCGTAACCAGCCACGACACAGCCCCGCCGTCCCGCGCCTCCTTCCCGAGCCCACCTCGGCACACTTACCTTCCTTGTCAGCCATGGCGGCAGGCGAGCCGGGAGGGGTTGGGGGATCCCGGGGTCGTGCGTTGCAGGAGGGGCGGGGAGGCTACGGGCGCTCGCTCGGCGCGCGCGGCCTCTATTGTTTCCTGCGGCCCGTGCGTGGGGGGCCGGCTCGCGTGCCTTCGCGCCAACACCAGCCAATGGGAAATCGCGGGTCGGCGGGGTGGGCGGAGCATCCGCGGCCGCGGCCAATGAAGACGCGCACAGCCGCTTTTCGCGGGCCCAGAGGCGCGCGCTCCGCCCCTTCCCCCCACCGCAGTCCGGAGCTTGCTTCCACCGATTGCGCGCGCGCACCGCCTGCTGGGACGATTCCCGTCCAGGTCACGTGACGGGTTTAGACTTCTCACGCTCACGCGCAGCCATTTTCTTAGAGGGCCGTTATGCTAAGGACTCCCTTAGAGTAGCCAAAGAAATCCGAAGTGTTTCCGGGTCTGGTTAGCAACTCGGAGAAGAACATGCATCACCGTCTAGACTAAACAGGTGCCTAGCTCAAGGTGTCTTAACTTATTCCCTTAGGTTTTAGAAAGAACTAATAATATAGGTGCAGAAAATAGGGCACATATTCTTATCTTTAAGACATGTTAGGTAGGAGGCAAGGCTTAGGCTGGAAGTCGCCAGCGATAGTATCCTTCCGCGAGTTCCGAGAATGGAGTCCTGGTCCTTTTAGACCGTCCGCCAAGGGGTGGGGTGTAGGGCGGAAGTTATGGCGCAGGGCCGAAGTCTAGCTGCTGAAGGGCGGAAGTAGAGTCCTGAAGTCTGCAATCATGGCTCAAGAAGAGGAAGATGTTAGAGATTACAATTTGACGGAGGAACAGAAGGCGATCAAGGACAAGTATCCTCCAGTCAATCGAAAGTATGAATGTGAGTAGGTGGCTCACATCTCTTAAATACGGGGCAGCCTCAGCGGTTTACCTGCAGCTTCCTGTCTCGCCCACAGATGCTCCTTGTATAATGTCAGTGCCCCGCATTGTAGGTCCTTTTGTACCTAATGTAGGGGCAGGTGAAGAAAAAGATCACTTTACTAGGAATTGAAGAGACCTGAGCCCCTGCTTCCCCTTATATTCTCTTAAAGGTCTACGTGTACCTAAATCACGTTTATCTTCTCTGAGATTACAGCTTAGTGGTATAGCGTTTGCCCGACACTCATCTTTCTAAACTATTCTAGCGCCCCAGTTGTATTTTCAAGCGTTTTTTGGGTTGTCGTCCTCGAATTTTTCCCAGTAGTGGAACTAGTGTGACCACGTTAGAGGACTGGGAAAGCAATCAAGAGGTGTATATTTCTTTCTGTCTCCACAGCCCAAGATTGGATTTTATTATGTAGTTAATATATTGCATCACGTTAAAAATGTTTGAAAAAAAAACACTCTAAATTTTGGCAATACTTATTTATCATTGGCCTGAATCTCACTATGTGGACCAAATTTAGAATGATCCTTGTGTTCGCTTCTCTGGTGCTGGAGTCACAGACGAGTTAACACACCTGGCCCCATTTGTGGTTTTTGGTTTGTTTTTGTTTTTCCGAAACAGGGTTTCTCCATGTAACAGCTCTGGCTGTCCTGGAACTCGCTTTGTAGACCAGACTGGCCTCGAACTCACTGAGATCCGCCTGCCTCTGCCTCCCAAGTACTGTTATTAGAGGCATGCGCCACCACTTCCCAGCCTGGCGCAGATTATTATGGCTGCTAAACAGATACACCTGTGTGAGCAGCTCTAGTATTGAGATAGAACAGTCCTGTTGTCCTAGAATGTTCCCTCAGTTCCTTTCTAGCCTCTTATCCTTGAATCGCTTTTCTCTTGTATTTCCTATTTCCGGAGTGTAATTTTCTGTGTTAGAGGTTCATAGGCATAGACTCATGCTCTCCTTTTACATTTGATGGGAGCTTCTTCACCCCATCAAAGGTACCACAGCAGACACAAATTGAAGTAACAACCAATGGTGAAAGCTAAGATTCATTCCAGTTCAGCCAGAGATTGTAAATTTACAAGGAGAATGAGGAGGGCTCCTAAAGTCTGAGAAGTAACAAAGAACAAAAGATTATTCATTATAATTGCTGTAGAGGCAGCAGGGCCAAGGCCAGTTTTGTCTGTTCCCTGGCAGTTTTGGAAGTTCAAGTTCTAGCCTCCCACAGACTTGAGACAAGAGGCCTGGGCTGTGGGGATGATAACATTTCAAAGAACCAGGTCCTTGAGAAAGATTGGAGCTGGAAAGGATACATGTTCACAATTTTAAGGCTTCTTTGGTACTTAATGTAAAATAGGGAGATGAGGAGCTTTTTAAAAAGTGTTGGCTAGAACAAAGAGGGAATTCTCCAAACTTTATTAGGCTTTTCTCAGGCAAGCATTGTAACTAAGACTTCTGCTCTATTTTGAGATGTGGACTTATGCTACTAGAAGCCATACTAGAGTTTGGTCAAATGCAGGTGTACTGATGAAGCTGTTATGTACTATGAGTTGTGTAGTTCCCAACAATATTTTAAGATATTTAATTTGTTGGAGCAAAGATTGAATCCAGGACAATTCTCTACCCCTCTACTGACCTCTGTTCCTAACCCACATCCTTTTAAAATTAATTTCATTGGGGTCTGTGGTCTTTTGAAACATGACATTCTATGTACCTTCAAACTTGAACTCCATACATATACCAGACTGGCCTCAAGCTGATGACCTTCCTGTCTAAGCCTCCAGAAACCTCAGCTGTAGTACCAGCACACCTTGCAAATAATGTTGTAGTCTAATGTTAGTCAGATGTTCTCTATGGGTTTCAGGTCTCCCTCTTTATCCTTTCCTTCTCTTGGCTTTAGTTTATGTTCATGTTCAATATTAAATGTAGAACATTGCACATGTTTGGCAAGTACTCTACCACTGAGCCTCATCCTAGCTCTCAGGCTTCTTTTTATAAGTCAAGGGATTATATTAAATGACTTCCAAGAATTCCTGCTAGTGGGAAGAATTGCTTGTTATCACAGTATTTGGGAGACAGGCAAGAGACTCTGGCAGCCTGGTCTACATAGTGAATTTCAGGCCAGGCAGGATTACGTAGTTAGATCCCCTCTCAAAGCAAAACAAGTGGAAAGAATTGATGAAAACCATGGAATGGGCAAAGAACATACTGAATAGGAGGAGGATGACAGCCACACAGTAGAGATGTTGTGGTCCAGTCTTCACTGTGGGAACAGCAGGGAACACTCATTGTACATCTTGTGGAATTGGCCTTCCTAGTCAGGGTTAGACTAGCTAGTTGGGAAAAGTAACCGATGCCAAGAGACCAGTGTGTAAGATACCTAACACACAGGAGGTCTTGCTGTGTCACCCAGGGTAGCCTTGAACTGGGCTCAAGTGATCTTTCAGCTTAAAACTCAAGTAGCAGGGACTGCAGGGACCCAACTTAGACATTTTTAGGGTCCCAAGCATGGTGGTGCATGCTTGCAATCCCAGGACTCCGGGTGGAAGTGAGGCAGGAGGATCAGACCAGCCTGAACTGCATTGGGAGACACTGGGTCTAAAACTAAAGCAAAATGAAACCATATACCTAGAAGCATGCCCTGGTACTTTCCAGAATTTATGATTCATTTAAATATGAACCAAATGGGTAGGTTGTTATGTTTATAAAATAATACTAGGAAAGAGTTAACTTTATTGACTAACTACAAAGCAAAAGGTCTGACTGTCTCATGTTTTCCTTTTAAGAATTTTTCAAACATGTGTTTATTTTTTGTATGCATGAGTGTTTTGAGGGATTTATAGATGTGCCCCACACCCATACCTAGTATCAAGTAAGGCACTGGATCCCCTGGAACTGGAGTTACAGGTGATGGTGAGCCGCCATTTGGTGCTGCACATCCATCCTCTCTGCCAGACCAGCAGGTGCTCATCGTTGATGAGCCATCACTCCTGCACCATCCTTTTTGTTTGCTTTAACTTCATATATGTGATATATTAGTGTATACATGCATGTTCACTGTGTTAGTGCACATGTGCATAGAAGTCAGGACAGCCTTGGCCTTCCTTGAGACAGGGTTTCTGGCCACTGATAAGCTAAGCTAGCTGGCCCAGGAATATCTTCCTATTGCTGCGACCCTTCAGTACAGTTCCTCACGTCGTGGTGACTCCTCACCATCAAATTATTTCATTACTACTTCATACCTGTAATTTTGCTACTGTTATGAATCAATGTAAATATGTGTGTTTTCTGATGGTCTTAGGCAGCCCTATGAAAGGTTCCTGACCCACAGGTTGAGAACCACTGATGTAGAGAGTCTTGTTTCCTCTTCCTGTGTCTTGTAAGCATATTAGGATAATAGAAGCTTGTGCTGCTTGTGCTGACTTTGGTGGGTTCTAGACATCAGAGCTCTTGTCATAGCCCTGCACAGCATGTGCTTTTACCTACTGAGCCATCTCTCCAGAAAGGAGGGAGAAGGATCCATGTGCATATGTGCCATAGTGTAAGTATGGAGGTCAAAGGACAATTTTCAGGAGTCAGTTTTCTCCTTCCACTAGGTGATCCAGTATAGTAAGTGCATTTAGCCCCTGAGCCACCCCTCTTGCCTGTTTTTATTGCTTTTAAGGTGGGGTGTTACCGTATACCCAGATTGTCCAGGGCAGGGCTGGGACTTGCCATGCACCTGCCTTAGCCACTTAAGTCCTAGGGTTACAGGTGTGAGCCTAATACCTTGCTGGGATGGTGTTCAACTGCTCTTTCTGCCTGCTGCCTAGAGTTATTTTTGTATGGTTTGAGAGTCAAGTGCAGTGGCTTACACATTTTCCCTTTCTCCCTCAGATTTGGATCATACGGCTGATGTCCAGTGAGTACAGCAGGAGCAATTCCTGGAAACTCTGCCTTTAAATGGAAGGATGACTATTTTAATTTTTTAAATTTATTTTTATTTTATGTGCATTGGTGTTTTGCCATGGGTGTTATAATTTTAAAAAGGCGGGACCAGAGAAAAAGATGTCACGCAACAGAGCTCACATGGAGGGTTTTTTATTAAGGGAAATGGGGAAAGGGGGAGGGGAGGGAGGGAAACTGGCCTCTGGAGACAGGAGCAACAGACAAGAAGGGGGGGGCGGGGGCAGAGACAGTCAGAGAAGTGAGAGAAAGAGAAAGGAAGAGACAGACACAGAGAGAGATGGGAAGTGGATAGGGCCTCTTTAAAAGGGAAAGTAGTGGTGCTCTTAGTGGCTGCAGCTGAGGTGTTTCCTCTCAGAACCCCAAGGGCAGGCCAGTACAGATGCCTGAATACTAACATTGGGGCCTCTGGAACTAGAGTTAGAGACAGTTTTGAGCTCCTATGTAGGTGCTAGAATTCAATTGGGGTCCTCTGGAAGAGCAGTCAGTGCTCTTAACCACATGTCTTAATTTTTTTAAAATAAAAATCCTTAACTACATTTACTTTTTTAAGATTTATTTTATTGCTGGGCTATGGTGGCACACACCTTTAATCCCAGCACTTAGGAGACAGAGACAGGTGAATCTCTGTGAGCATGAGGCCAGCCTGGTCCACAGTGTGAGTTCCAGGACAGCCAGGGCTGCTACACTGAGGAACCCTGTCTCAGGGGGAAAAATATTTTTTATCTTATGTGTATGGATATTTGGCCTGCATGTATACATGCACCACATGTGTTCCTGGATCCTGAGGAGGTCAGAAGAGGCAGTCAGGTGGAGCTGGAGTTAGAAATGGTTGTGAGCTGCCATGTGGGTGCTGGAACTGAACCTGGGTCCTCTGCAAGAGCAATAAATGCTCTTAACCACTGAGCCAACCCTCCACCTCTATCTTTTCTTTTTTGAGATAGGGTCTCACTGTGTAGCTCTTGCTGGACTGGAATTTTTTTATATAGATATACAGATCAGGCTGGCCTCAAACTCATAAAGATCCCTCCTCTGCCTCCTGAATGTTGGGCTTAAAGGTATGCCCCTATGTAATTTTTATTTATTTTGTTTGGTGTGTGTGTGTGTGTGTGTGTGTGTGTGTGTGTGTGTGTGTGCCTGTATCTGTGTATGTGTCTGTGTGTGTGAGTGAGAGAGAGACAGAGGTGGGGGTAGAAGACGTAAGTGCTACATTGTATGTGTGGAGGTCAGAAGACAAATTGGGGGAGTCTATTCTTCCCTTCTACCAGTGTCAGGCTTGGTGGCAAGCACCCTTACCCAGTGAGCCAGCTTCCTGGCCCAAGTGGATTTCTTTCTCCTTTTACTTTGACTTGTTCTAAATGTAAAATGCTGGTGTAAAAGTATCCAATTTAGGTGCCTTTAAATTAGACAGTTTTATGTTTTTCTTTTGACTTTGCTGTGGAATTTTCTCTCTTATAGTAGATTATATTGTTGCACACACTGTGACCCCTTTTATTATTTGTCTTAATTTAACTTTTTATTTTATTTTTTAGGTTACATGCGTGGGGAGATACTCTGGAGGAAGCATTTGAACAGTGTGCCATGGCCATGTTTGGTTACATGACAGATACTGGAACTGTGGAACCCCTCCAAACAGTAGAAGTAGAAACCCAAGGTAATTGATTTATTCTCAAGGAAAAATTAGTATATGGGTATACAATGTTCTGCATGATCTGAACATATTGTCACAGTAAGAACATCATGATGAATTATGAATCTTTAAAATGAGCCAAAGAATGTCATTGTACTTTAACCAGACTCTTAGAGACCAGAGTCACTAAACATCATCTTTGACCCTGTGTAGGAGATGACTTGCAGTCTCTACTGTTCCACTTTTTGGATGAGTGGCTTTACAAGTTCAGTGCTGATGAATACTTCATACCCCGGGTAAGCACAGGGCTGAGCAAGTAGGCTCTTTGTTCATATTGTACAGTTGAACAACTAATTGAAGGTAAGTTATGTAATTCAAAAACCAATCCATACAGATATGTAAGGTAATGTTGACTTGTATAAGTTATAGGTCTTTCTTTAAAGTATTTTGTTTATTTTTAATTTATGCACACAATTGTTTTGCCTGCCTGCCTGTGTGCCACATGAATGCAGTACCAATGGAGGCCATAAGAGGGCACCATATCCTTTGGTACCATAGTTACAAACAGTTGTGAGCTACAATATGGGAGCCAGGAATCTCAGTTTTTTGCAAGAGCAGCTGCTACTCTTAATTGCTGAGCTGTCTCTCAAGCACCATGTAGGTCCTTACTGATTAACCTGTTTGCCTAGGTATATTCATTTTTTTTACTTAGATCTCTGATAATATAGTATTTGATATCAAAATTGTATAAGACTAAGGAGCTGGGTATGGTGGTGCATGCCTTTAATCCCAGCTCTTGGGAGGCAAAGGCAGGTGGATCTCTGTGAGTTTGAGTTCCAGGACAGCCAGGGCTACACAGAGAAGCCCTGTCTCGGAAAAAAAAAAAAAAAAAAAAAAAACAACTATTTCTCAGAAGAATATCTACTAAGGGTTGGAGAGAACATCTACTTAGCCAGCATGGTAGAATATATCATTCATCATAGCATTCAGGAGGCAGAGACATGAGGATCTCTTTGGGTTCCAGGCTAGCCTGGTCTACATAGCTAGTTCTTAGTCAGTCAGAGATACTTATTGAGCCTTGAGTCCAAGAAAGAGAGAGAGAGAGAATGCACTTTATGTGCAAGTTTAAGTTTGTTCTATGTTTATAACCAAATATTCTTGAAATTTAATGGCTTTGTGACTTTGACCTAAGTTCAGCAATTAATGATTTTAGATTTTTTGGTGTTTTAAGACAGGTTTTTTCTGTGTTTTATCCCTGACTGTTCCGGAATTCACTTTGTAGACCAAGCTGGCCTTGAACCCAAAGATCTGCCTTTCTCCCAAGTGCTGAGATTGAAGACTTGTGCCACCACACCTAGCTAATTTTAGAATTTTTGTTTACTTTTTTTTTTCCAGACAGGGTTTCTTTATTATAAACCAGGTTGGCTTCAAACTCATGGAGATCAGCCTGCCTCTGCCTCCCAAGTACTGGGATTAAAGACATGTGCCACCACATCCATGATTTTAGATTTCTTTTTTTTTTTTAATATTTATTTATTTATTATGAATACAGTGTTCTGCCTGCATGTGTCCCTGCATGACAGAAGAAGACACCAGATCTCATTACAGATGGTTGTGAACTCAGGACCTCTGGAAGAGCAGCCAGTGCTTTTAACCTCTGAGCCATCTCTCCAGCCCCAGATTTCTTAATAGGAAAAAAAGGGGGGATGGGGGGAGTCGAATGCAGATTGCTTGCTGCCGTCAGCCTCCCGGATACTTGTCCAGCATCTGACACATGGCCCTTGCTTGTAGAATCAGCCAGCTCTCCTTTATCAGCTCCATTACATGTATCTCACGGAGTCTCGCACGCTACACAGCTGGAGAGGGCAGTGTTGTTACAGATGTGCTGACAGTGATTAGAACAATATATCTGCTCCTTTATAGAGACAGATATTCTTTTAACTTTTTCCTTGTTGATGCTGGGACTTAAGGTTACACATGCAGAACACTGATCTACTAGGGCTCTTCCTCCAGCAGCCCCTTGACTCTTTTACCTCTGTAACTATGAGGGAGGGTTTCATGGAGTTAACTGGCCTCAAATTCACTGTGTAGTGAACCATGGCCTTGAACTCCTGAAACTCCTGAATGCTTTGAGCATGTGGCACCATACTTTGACTGCTGGGTTTAGAATGTCTATTTCCCAAGGAAACCTCCCTTGAATAAGTAATAATAATAAAAACTTATTTCCTTGTTTTATTTTGTTTGATATTTTAATTTTCTTTGCATAAGAGTAGTATGATATTGTTTTCTAAAAAACGTGATAAGCTAGAGGTGTTTAGTAAATAGCCTGGTGTTTTGTTTGTTTGTTTGTTTGTTTGTTTTGTTTTGCTTTTGTTCGTTTTTCAAGACAGACTTTCTCCTTAGCTTTGGAGCCTGTCCTGGGATTCTATCTGTAGACTAGGCTGGCCTTGAACTGACAGAGATCCACCTGCCTCTGCCTCCCCAGTGCTGGGATTAAAGGTGAGTGTCACCACCGCCCAGCTTTGGTTTGTTTTTGAGACAGTGCCTAACTCCTTATCCCAAGTGGCCCTGGTCTCAGGCCCCTTGACTGAGTTCAAGTACTGAGTTATAAAGCATTTGCTGATGTACTTGGCTGAACCCAAGTAATGATTGTAGCTGGGGTGGAAGAATCCCTGGGTTCAGTCTCCAGCTCTCCATAAAAACTAGCGTAGTGCACATGTTCATGATCCCACACCAAAGAGATGGAGGCAGAGGGGTCCGGAATGCATGATTATCTCTGGCTATATTTTGAGTTTCACATGAGTAATGGAAGACCTTATCTCAAAAAATATTTTAAAATAAAGTTAATTAACTAGTTAATATTAAGTTAAAATGTTTGTTTTTTCATCTTTAGGAAGTGAAAGTACTTAATATTGATCAAAAAAATTTCAAGTTACGGTCAATTGGGTAAGTTTTTAAACTGGTTAAGTAGTGGGTCATGAAAGATGTTGAAGTACATTCTCCCTTGACTCCAGTGGGTAAAACAAGGACAGATACAAATGGTGAGTCAGGACAACTGCATTTGTCTAGACCTTGTAGAGTGAGGTGAGGGGGACCCCAAGAGTCAGCTCACCTGAGCTGTAGAGACTCGGGAATTTGTGGGAATAAAGTTCTTCCTGATTGTTAAGCTCAATTCCCAATTTAAAAATTTATTTTACATGTATGGGTATTTGCCTGTATGTATGTCTGTTCACCACATGTATGTCTGGTGCCTGCAGAGGCCAGAAGAGGGTTCCAGATCTCCTGTAACTAGAGTTACAGACATTTGTGAGCTGCTATGTGAATGCTGGGAACTGAACCTGGGTCCACTGGAAGAGCAGCCAGTGCTCTTAACCACTGAGTCATCTCTCCAGCCCTCAATTATTTTTATGGTTTACAAAAAAAAGGTATATTTATAATTGCAGCTGGCTAGATGGTCCCAGCAACTGTTTTTTTTTTTTTTTTTTTTTTTTTTTTGCTTTTTCAAGACAAGGTTTCTCTGTATAACCCTGGCTGTCCTGGAACTCACTCCATAGACCAGGCTGCCCTTAAACTCAGACGTGCCTGCCTCTGCTTCCCAGTGCTGAGACTAAATGTGTACCACCACACTCAGAGTGATCCCTATTATGTTAGCAACATCTAAAACTCTAAAACATCATAATCTAGAGCCTGTGGATCATGTACTTTTTTTGTTTGTTTTGATTTTTGTTTTTCTAGCAGGGTTTCTCTGTGGCTTTGGAGCCTGTCCTAGAACTAACTCTGTAGATCAGGCTGGTCTCGAACTCACAGAGATCTGCCTCCTGAGTGCTGGGACTAAGGGTGTGTGCCACCAACATCCGACATGGATCATGTACATTGTTCCCCATTAGTCTTAGGCAGTGCAGTTTCCTTCCCAGTTCCTCCATCTCTTTCTGCTTTTCCAGTTTGGGACCACATTTATTAGGCTTACTTTAAAATGTAGAGAATAAAATAGAAAATTGTAGAAATAATAATCATGTTTTTACTTTCCTTTTCAAGGTGGGGAGAAGAATTTTCATTGTCCAAGCATCCTCAGGTATGTTCAGAAGTCTAGCTGTTGAAAGCATTTCATCCTTTCTTACACAAAATCTGCTTATGTGAAAATCAACTTCATTTTTAATTAATATGAAGTGATGACAAGTTTGCTCAAGCGTCTCTTACCCGGCTGGGTATGTTAAGATACTGATTTCACACATCTGTTTGGTCAGTTAGAAGTCAGCTTTAGGTCCGGGATGGAGTTTGTTACAGATTGTGAAGGGGTTTTAAAATCTGGTTTTCTCTTTGTTTGATTGGACTTTTTGCTTGTTTTTGAAACACTATCTCACTATGTAGTGTTGGCTAGTCTCTTTCTGCCTCTAGAGAACTGAAATTACAGGCATGGGCCACCAGAGGTTTGGTTTTCTCCACAATGAAGATGTTTTCTCTTTGTCTCTCTGGGAATTGAATGTAGGGCCTTGTGCATGCTGTACAAATGTTCCGCTACTGTGCTATACTCCAGCCCTCTTTTTATTTTAAACAAATTCGTTTGGAAAGCCAGGTGTAATGGCACACACCTTTAATCCTAGCACCCAGGAAGAAGAAGCAGGCAGAATTCTGAGTTTGAGGCTGCCTGGTCTACATAGCAAGTTCCAGGACAGCCAGGACCACATGGAGACCTTATTTCAAACAAACAAATAAACAAATAAGCAAAATCATTTGGAAATGACTGCAGGAAGGGGGGCAGATTGGTAACATGGTAGCAACTGGGGGTGCAGGGGACTGTGGTCATTAAAGAATAGTTTTCTTTTATCTGGCTTTAGGTAAGAGGTTTTGTAGCATGTTAATATGCAAAGTAGATGAGTAAGAAGAGAGGGATACACGGGAGAGGGAGAGGCTGTGGAACATTGGTACGTGGTGGTGTGGAATCCGCTCGTAGGTGTAGAGTTGGCCTGGAACACATGTGAGGACAGACAGAATGGATGACAGACTGACTGGGTATGTGAGTTTCTTCTTATTGATAGCTCTTACTTTCTCTAGAAGCATTGTTGACTGTGAAGGGGAGATGCCTGAGGAGAAAATGTGAATTGTCTCTGAGGGGAGAAAGGTGCCCATGTAGATTACTGGTCAGTCATCAAGTGTCTGAGATGTGGATGTCCACGTAAGGCAGTGCCGGCAGAAACACTGCCTCAGGCAGAGAGCAGAATTTGATGAGGCGATGATAGAGAGGAAGCTACAAGTGACGACCCTCAGCTCCTCCTGTGGTGTCATCACATGCCTGTTGTGCATTAGAGCTAGCGGGTGACATTCACCTGTGACCTGGTACATTAGTATTACAGATCCTTTCTAGAACTGGAAGGGACTTAAGAGGACATCAATCCTTCTGTTCTAAACTGGGACAGGGTGTGGGATACTCTCATGTATCAGAGCTCTGGGAGGGCTCTGACCTGCGTCTTTCTCTCTGTGCCTCTCTAGCCAGACCTGCAAAGAAGGGAATCCCAAAGGGAATAGGCTGAGTGCTGGGGCTGCAGGTGGGGCATGAAGGAGTAGATAAAGACCGGAGGGGCCCTGACCTACCACAGAGAAGCTTGTGTTGTATGGTCTGCCTCATTTTATAACTAAAAAAGCAGACCCGAGCTGGGCTGTGTTGGCATGCATTTTTAATCCCAGCACTCGTGAGGCAGAGGCAGGCGGACCTCTGAGTTCAAGACCAGCCTGATCTACAGAGTGAGTTCCAGGACAGGCTCCAAAGCTACACAGAGAAACCCTGTCTCAAAAAAGCAAAAAAACAAACAAAGGAAAAACCCAGACCGGTGCCCAGCCAGATCACACGGCCTCCCTGACCAGCTGGCCTGTGCCAGCATTATAATGCGCTGGCTCCTCCAAGTCTCGTGGCTTCTTCTGCTCTGCTCACTCTCTGCTTCTCATTTTCTCACAGCAGCATTTGCCTCTGTGCTAACCTGATAACCACTGTGGAAAGATGTCTTTGCCAGGCTGCAGTCGGAGCCAGCCAAGTGGCCCGAGGTTCATACCTGAGAAGGGGGAGTGTGGACTACAGAAAGGCTAGCTAAAGACGTTAAAGGAAAAGGCAACACAGAATAAAAGCAGGAAGGCAAATCAGTCAATACTGAGATGCCATGAGTGTATTTTTCACCACTCTTACATACCTTAACCAAGATAACATGGTATCTATCATGTATACAGAACAAACAGACTTTTCTTCCTCTTTTCTCCAAGGATTCAGTAACCACACCTTAGATTCAACTTCTTGTTACCGGCTTTGAGGGTCAGGTGTAACCACACCTTAGACCAGGTCTGTTGTTTTTTAGAATAAGACAGCTAAGGCCAAGATTGAACATCCTTCTGTAGCCATACTTTTGACTTTAGGTCTTATGACTTACAGTTTTGAACTCTCTACCCTTGAGCCAAGATGGAGTAGAGCCATCTTTATGGACACAGACAGTCCATATGGAAACCACCAGTTTCTTTCTCTTTCTTTCTTTCTTTCTTTTCTTTTCTTTCTTTTTTTTTTTTTTGGTTTTTCAAGACAGTGTTCAGTGTTTCTCTGTATTGTTTTGGAGTCTGTCCTAGATCTCCTTCTGTAGACCAGGCTGGCCTCAAACTCACAAAGATCCGCCTGCCTCTGCCTCGGATTGCTGGGACTAAAGATGTGTGCCACCAATGCCCAGCCCCACCAGTTTCTTATGTCAAAATTAGTTTGACTTTCTGCCACTTCTTGCAGTACTTAAAGATTCTAAATCCAGTTTCTTTCTTTGTTCCTTTAACTCCACCTTCAGGGAACAGAAGTCAAAGCAATAACATACTCGGCAATGCAAGTCTACAATGAAGAGAAGCCAGAAGTGTTTGTGATCATTGACATTTAAGATACAGAAAGGAAGGAAGAAAGAGGGGCCTGGAGAGGTGGCTCATCGTTTAAGAGCACTGGCTGCTCCACCAGAGGACCGAGTTCAGTTCCCAGCAACCACATGGCAGCTCACAACTATCTCTAACTCCTGTTCCAAGGGATCTGATGCCCTCATACAGACATTCATGCAAGCAAAACACCAGTGTACATAAAATAAAAATAAATTATTTTTAAAAAAAGAGACTCCTATGAAGAGCTGATTTGTTTTCCTTTTGACAAGATGCAGTGATTCACTTTCTATAGTGTTTTTGCTAAGTGGAAATACAGAACTGGGAATTGAGTGTGGCTTTCAGAAGTGGAAAACCAGTGTGTAGCCTTGGTCTGTGATTCCTGCATAATGAATTCTTCGATTTTTGAGGAACAGTCTTGAACTTGGTCATTTACAGCGGTAGCAGAAGGTACCTTACACATTTCAGTGGAATGCAAATGCTCCAGCATGGTCTCAGAAGAGGATACTCACTGGTGTAAGCAGCCACTGGGATTGAATCCAATTTCAAGCAAAATCATTTGAGATGAGTATGATAGACAATATACGCCTGTGATCACAAGACTCAGGATTCTGAGTTTGAGGCCAGTCTTGGCTATAGAATGAGCTTGAAGCTAGCCTGGGTAACCTAATATGGTCCTGTCTCAAAAAAGAAAAGTGTAGGGCAAGGAGTACATGTATGTTGAGATCTTAATATTTAGTTTTTTGTAACAGTCCTAGCTGTCCTGGAACTTCATTTGTAGACCAGGCTGGCCTCAAATTCACAGAGATCCACTCTGTCTCCTCAGTGCTGGGATTAAAGCCTGCCTGACCACCACCTCCCTGCCTCCAGCTTATTTTTAAAGAAAGGAACAGGATTACATTTAAGGATCTTGAACTCCCATAACTTTTAGCAGTACTTGCTGCCTGGTTTTATTATTTACGCATGTGGTACACGTATGTGCTGTGGAGGTGTGTGGAGGCCAGCATGGCATGTTCAGTCTTCCCCAGCCATTCTCTGCCATGTTGCCTTGAGCCTCGAGCTCTGTGAGCAGGAAGCCCAGCACTTTGGCTGCTGACTACCCTGTAAACCCTCAGCGCCATCTATACTCATCCACACACATGCTTGGCTTTTCCACCTAGGTTCTAGGAATTCAAGCTCAGGTCTGTACGCTCACTGAGCCATAGTTTGTGTGTGCACTTGCATATACATATATGCATGTGTGTGTAGAGGCCAGAGGCCAATGCCAGGTTTCTCCTCTATCATTTTCTGCCATAGTTCTCGAGACGGGGCTTCATTGAACGTGGCTCTCACTTCTAGGATCTGCACATTCCCATGTGCCCAATGAACACAGGCTGCATATGACACTAGCCATGTATGTTTTTACATGGGTTCTGAGGACCAAACTCAGGTCCTTATGTCTGCATAGCAAGCCATTTTTTACTGAACCCCCCCCCATCCTCTCTCTACTTAACCCCTCCAACAATTAGCTCATAAGAAAAACATTTTAGTAAGATTTATATGCAAGGTGGTTTGGCATATATATACACATACATACATACATACATACATGCATGTATATATATGTAATATATCTGCACACCACATACATGCAGTGCCTAGGAACACCAGATGAAGACTTGGGATCCACTGAATTGGAGTTAGCAATCCAGGTCCTCTGAAAGAGCAGCTAGTGCTCTTGTGTCAAGCTGTCTTTCCAGCCACACAAGAGTAAATGTAGGTATATATATTTGTTTTTTTCTTTTTTGGCTTTTCAAGACAGGGTTCCCCTGTATAGCCCTGGTTGTCCTGGAACTTGCTCTGTGGACCATGCTGGCCTTGAACTCACAGAGATCCGCCTGTCTCTGCCTCCTGAGTGTTAGGATTATGAGACAGGGTTTCTCTGTGTAGCCCTAGCTGTCTCAGAAGTCGATCTGTAGCTCAGGGGAAAAAATACTTTTTAACTTTTAATTTTATGTTTTACCTCTATGTACATCTATATACCATGTGAATGCCTTGTGCCCATACATGTCAGAAGTAGGTGTTAGATTCCCTGGGATTGGAGTTACAGATGGTTGTGAGCTGCCATGTGGGTGCTGAGACTTGATCATGTATACTCTGAAGAGCCAATGCTCTTACCTGCTGAGCCATCTCTCCAAGCCCCTGGCTGGACTTGAAATTTTTAACAGATTTGCTGGGTTCTGTAGTTGGGTAGCCAGACTCAAATTCAGTCTTGTCTGGTTCCCTGTGAAACTCAATATGGTAACATATGCTTTTAAAATATGTTAACATTTTGTAGGCAGGTTTATTGGTGGGTGAGGGTAAGGGTTCCTGCCACCAAGTCTGATGACCTGAATTCCATCCCACATGGTAGGAGAGAACCAGCTCCTACAAATTTTCTTCTGGCTTCCACACGTGTCCTAGTACAGGCATGCCTCCTCCCCCCAAACAAAATGAATCAATAAAAATGTAATAGAAAAGATCGTCTTAAAGTTTTATGATAGATTTATTTAAAATATTTTACTCTGAAAAAGTTTGCTAAATAGATTTGTTCAATAGTTAAAGAAAATGCCATCTGTGAAATAACAGAAAGGGTAACTGATCATCCATCATGCCAATGCAAGCAAGGTCTGTCTTCCCAGAGCAGCACCAAAGTTCAGAGTGACCTATTCAAAGAGCATGCAAATTACATTAGGTCACTTCTAAGCCAGCAGGAGAAATCCATTAACCGGGCTCTGCCCATGGAGAGATACAGGATGTCCATGTAAACTGCAGGCACGCCCAGTTCTGATGAGTCACACTACAGGCTACCTAATGTTGGGTTTGGTTTCCTTTTCTTCCTCTTCCTCACTATCTTCAACTTGTTTTATGACCAGATCTGCAGACCCATCCTCTACAATCTCCACGTAGGATCTATTCTCTTCCTCACTCAGATGCCACCGGGAATCCTTAGCTCCATCTGCTGGGGACATGCAGTGTTGTTCAGCTTCCAGATCAACAGGGAGGCTGTCGATGCCAGCTTCCGAAAGGCACTCGTTACACAGTCTGTAGCGCCTGGTTCCTTCCTGCACCACCTGGCCTGTGAGGTCAGTCACATGGCGTTTGCATTTCCTGCAGATTAGTTTGCATGCCTGGTGGATCTGTGTAGAGATTTAAAAAGTGATTAAAATACATTTTCAAAAGTGGGTCAGTTTGCTATTTTAGGGACCAGTTCATATACTTCAGGTGTTCAAAGCCATGCATTAAATCCAAGTTAACAACTAATTATCAGAAGAGATCCCAGGACAGTGACAAATGTACACCATGGACACATCACATGTCAGCTTTCTTTAAGTAATGGCTGTAATGTTTTTCTTTAATTATTTTATGTATTATATACACAGTAGTCTGTCCGCTTGTATCCCTGTGGGCCAGAAGAAGGCACAAAATCTCATTTCACATGGTTGTGAGCCATCATGTGGTTGTTGGGAATTGAACTCAAGATCTCTGGAAAATCAACTAGCGTTCTTAACCACTGAGCCATCTCTCCAGCCCTGGTTTTCTTATTACTACCGAATACTTAATCCCACAATCCATTAACCCAAGACAGGGTTTCTTTGTGTAATAGTTCTGGCTGTCTCAGACCTCAATCTGTAGGCTAGGCTGGCCTCAAACTCACAGAGATCCACTTTCCTCTGCCTCCAAAGCACTGGGATTAGAGGCATGTACCACCAATGCCCAGCTAAAGACCCATTGTTGTTGTGTGTATAAGGGGCGTGTGCAGTCAGAGAACAATTTGCCAAGTCAGTTCTCTCCTTCTTCCTCCGTGTGGGGTCTGGGGAGTGAACTCAGGTGACCAGGGACTTAGGGAGCGAGCCCGTCTCGACTGCAGAGCTGCCTCACTGGCCCTGCACTAAGGACTAACAAACAAACAAAAAACCCAACATTTACTTCACGTATATTTTTTAACTAAGGAAGAAAAATATACCCAAATGTAAGTTTATCAACATTTTCTACAGTGATCAATGTCCAACCATACTGGGCATTAGAAGGCTCGGTCCTGATCCTGGTTCTGTAGTGTCTTTGTCATTTATTAACCAAATCTCTCGGAACAAATTTAAACATGAAAAACTAGTTTTTAAGCTGCCAGTCAAAATACTGAGCAGAGAAGAGTGAGTAGCCTGCATGGGTGCTGGTTTAAATAACCAGTATCACAGGTCCTTCACACGTCAGTCAGCTGTTATCCCTGCCTGCTTCTTTACTACTGATGGGGGTGCTACTCCCATCAACAGTACTGAGAGTAAGTGAGCACAAAACGAGTTAATGGTCAGGAGATGCTTTGGTTAAAAAGTTTGGTAGTGCACGTCTTTGATTCCAGCACTCAGGGGACAGAGGCAGGCAGATCTCTGTAAGTTCAAGGACAGCTTGGTCTACAAAGTGAGTTCCAGGACAACTAGGGCTACACAAAGAAATTCTGTCTTGGAAAAAAAAAAGTTAAATGGGGGCTGGAGAGACTGCTCAGCAGTTAAAACCACTGGCTGCTCTTCCAGGGATCCTGGATTCAATTCTCAGCAACCACATGGTGACTCACAACTATTTAAAAATTCAGTTTTAGGAGACCCAGTACAATCTCTGGCTTCTGAGGGCATCAGGTTAAGCATGCAATGCACTTACATATATGCAGACAAAACACTCATATGCATAAAAATTAAAAAAAGAAATGCTTTTTAAAAGATTTATTTAAAATACATGAGTATTGGCTTAGTGGTTAGGAACACATACTGTTCTTCCAAAGGACCTAAGTTAAGTTCCCAGCACCCACATGTAGCAACTCACAACTGCCTGTAACTCCAGCTCTAGGAAATCTGACTCCCTCTTCTGGCCTTCATGGGCACTGCACTCATGTGTACAAACTAGGAGGGAAGAGGGAGAGAGGAAGAGGAGGGGGAGAGGGAGGGAGAGGAAGGAGCATGGTCCCAGCATCCCAACAAAGTGATCAATGTGTGATCATGGGTGATCAGTCCTCCAGTTAGTGTTTCCTAGTGTGACACGTGAGATATACAATATTGGCCTTGATGTGTCCTGGCCAAAAGTGTTTTATTTGAATCTGTTAAGGATATAGTTAAGGGCACTGGTGGCACATCCCTTTAATCCCAGCACTCGGGAGAGAGAGGAACTCTGTGAGTTCCAGGCCAGCCTGGTCTACAGTGGGTTCCAGGACAGGCCCCAAAGCCACAGAGAAACCCTGTCTCACAAAACAAACAAAGAAAGAAAAAGGAAATAGTTGAAACTTCAGTACATGGAAATGCAGGTGGGTAAAGGAACAAGCTAAAAAACACTATGTAAAAGCAAGCAAAATCAGAGGTAGGATATTTTGTAAAATAAATGGTTTAGTATCTTCAACAATCCAGTTTATAAGGCAGGAAGGTGTGTGTGTGTGGGGGGGGAATTATGCCAGATTAAAAATATACGTATGGGATTTATCAATAAGATGCACTTGACTCTGGTTCAGAAAATACAGCTATAAAAGGTATTTGGTGGGGACTATGGTGAAATCAAAACTGAACTGAGTGCTAAGATAAAATTTTACTGCAATGGAAACTGTGAGTTTGAGGATAGCCTGGTCTACAAAGTGACTTCCAGGACAGCCAGGACTGTCACACAGAGAAACCTGTCTTGAAATACCAAAAAAGATTTATTTGTTTACTTATGCTTTGCCTACATGCATGTATGTGCAGCATGTGTCCCTGGTACTCATGGAGTACAGAAAAGGAAAAGGTGTCAGATCCCCTGTAACTGGAGTTACAGATGAATTGTAAATTGCCATGTGGGTATTGGGAACCAAACTCAATCAAGACCTCTGGAAGCTGGAAGAGCAGCCAGTGCTCATAGCCTCTGAGCATCTCCATGGCCCCTCTCCCTCTTTTTTTCCCCCCCTTAAGAGTCTTTAACTTAAACTGGAGCTCACTGATTTCGCAAGATGAGCTGCTCAGGGAGCTCCAAGGAGCCTCTGGTCTCTGCCTCCCCAGTGCCGGAACCACACGTACATGCCACCACACCTGGGTTATTTTATATGTGGGTGCTGGGGATCCTCAGTCAAGTTAATTTTCTGTGGCAATCATGGTTTCACCTCCCCAACCCCAATTTAGATTATTTAAGTAGATAAATGAAAGGCTGGGGATGTAACTCAGTGGTAGAGAGCTTGCTTAGCATGTGTGATAGAGTGTTCAATCCTCAGTACCAGAAGGAGGGAGGGAGGGAGAAGGGAGGCAGGAATGCAGGGAGGGAAAGAGGGAAGAAAAGCAGATAAGTGCATATAGGTTACAAGAAGCAAAATGTTGAAAACTCATTACATACTGTTCGGAAGTGGCTACTCAGATGGTCTAGCCTGCTAAATCGTTTCCCACAAGCTTGGCACGGGTAGGGCCTTTCTCCTGTGTGGCAGCGCAGGTGGCGTTTAAGGTCTGCTTTCCGCTTTACCACATGTGTGCAGTATGGACACTTGAATCTCAATCTGGGCAGATCATCTGTGAACAGACAGTTGGATTAAATCACTGCAGAGGCCATAGTCACATTTCTATTAGTGTAAGGAATCCAGAGTAGTTGGTGAGCCCAACACTGTGAAGGTAAAGAAGGGTAAACAACTTGAATTAACCACGATGTCAAGTAATCCTGGGCAGAGAAGTGGAACTTGAGTACAAAGGCCAGGTAAATTGGACTACACCCTTAGCATTTTACTTAGATTTAAAAGGTAGTGCCAGACTCTAAAACTACATACACAAGCCAAAAATAAAGCAATTAATTTTTAAGTTAATTACTTATTGGTTTGTTTGTTTTGTTTTGTGTTTTGAGACAGTATTTCCTTGTATAACCCTGGCTGTCCTGGAACTCACTTGTAGACCAGGCTGGTCTCGAACTCTGACTGCCTCTACCACCCAAGTCCTGGGATTAAGGTGCTGACCACCACCATCTGGCTCAGAAATTCATTTTTAAAAGGGAATTTTTGTTTGTTTGTTAGAGACAGGTTCTCATCATGCAGTACTGACTGGCTTCAAACTCACAGAGATCCACCTGCCTCTCTACCTCCCAAGTACAGAGATTAAAAGTGTGTACCACCACACCCTGTTAAAGAGAGACCCTCTCCTCCCTCAGGGGAGTACCAAATCCAGGGCCTTTCCAGTGCTAGGCAAGTGCTCTACCATTGAGCTAAATCGCTAACCCCTATTTCTTTTTCTTTTTTTATTTTTTGGGACTTTTAAAGATTATATTTATTTTATTTGTGGTGTGTGTGTTACATGTTGGTATACAGGTTGCCACATTGAGAGTGTGGAAGTTATGAAAACTTACAGGTATCACCTGCTTTTCTCCTTCCTTCATGTAGACCCCAGGGGCTGAATTCAGGGCATTAGGCTTGCTGCTTGGTGGCAAGTGAGATACCTCACCAAGTGCTTGTTTTGTTTTTCAGGACAGGGTCTCACTCAATAGCTCTGAGTGGTCTACAACTCAGAGTGAGCATCCTGCCTCAGCCTCCCTAGTACTAGGATTATATGTGTGAGCTACCATGCCCAGCTGTAAAAGAACTTAATTTGAGCTGGCAGTGGTGGTGCACACCTTTAATCCCAGCACTTGGGAGGCAGAGGCCAGCCTGGTCTACAGAGTTAATTCCAGAACAGACTCCAAAGCTGCACATAGAAACCTTTTCCCCCCCAAAAAAGAAAAAACGAACAAAGAATTTATTATTTAATTTGTTCTATTTATACCTTTTATACCCTTGCCTTTTTTTTATATACTTATTAATGCTTTTTTGTTGTGAGGCTGGGGACAGAAACCAGGGCTTAGTCATGCTCCAAAACACCCTCAGGCATTCTTTTTCTTCTTTTCGTGTGTGTGTGTGTGTGTGTGTGTGTGTGTGTGTGTGTGTGTATGTGTGTGTATACTGAGTACTCTTTCTTTTGACTGTCATTAAATGTACTCAGTATTATATTTTGAATTAAACATTTTAAATTAATGTCCTGTGAAATAAATTTGAGTAAAAAGTATGACTTAGCCAGGCGGTGCAGTTACACCTTTAATCCCAGCACTAAGGAGACAGAGGCAGGCAGATCTCTGGAAGCTGGAGGCCAGCCTGGTCTACAGTGGGTTCCAGGACAGGGTCCGAAGCTACAGAGAAACCCTGTCTCAACAAACAAACAAAGTATGACTTAAAAAAAAATCAGGTGTTCTTAGCACCTGCTGCTTTTCCAGTGGACCTGAGTTTGGTTCCCAGCACCCATGCCAGGTGGCTCACAAGCTGCAATTCCATGTCCAGGGCATCTAATATGCCTCTGTGAGCATCACCCATACATACACACCAATACATACACACACGCTCAAACACACACACAAACACATAAATAAATGTAAAAATAAATTTCTAAAAAGATCACTTGGTTCAACTGCCATGGCACCTAAAAGTAAAGGCGTTTGGGTCTGGGCAGGGACTTAGGCTCTTTTGGGTACCTGGAAAGCTCCTGGATGTGACATCAGACCCTTGGCCGTACTGGTAGCCAGCAGGAGGAGCAGAATCTACTTCAGCATCAATCTGTACTTGCTCTTCAGGCTGGGAAACAATGTTGGAGGAATCGGATGTCTGAGTTTCTCCTTTTCCAGACTTAAGATGAACAACGTCAGAAGGCTGTGACAATCTCAAATGCTTGCTCTTTTTAACATCGTCCTTCCTCGGCTCATTGGCCAATGGTTGTTGGGTATTCATTTGGGAAGCTGCGTGGTAGTTGTACTTGTTCCACAACTTTCCACTTACTATACTCGGCGCTTGGTCTGGGCTCAGATGAGAATGGGGAGTCGAGCTTTCCTCTTGCCAGCCGCTACTATGAAAAGAGGGCCGTTCTACACCATTTGAGCTGGTGTCTTTATCTGAGAGGCTGAAGTAGCGATCTTTTTCTTTCTCACTAATGTCCAAGGAAGATTTAATGAAAGTCTTACATACACTAATGACATCAGTCATCTGAAGGAAGCTGGCGGCGGACATCACCTCTATAACATTCTGTCCAGTAAGAGAGAGTTTGCCAGAATAGACGAAGTCCAGGATAACTGTGAAGGTGTCAGGGGAGAAGGCCTGAAATGTGGCTGTAGCTGGCTGACTGGTCTCCTTTGAGCTCTGAGAAAGCAGCATTTTAAAGTAGCCACTGCTAGCAAACAAGACATTTCGATGCGCTTTGAAGACCTTCCCCTCAACCAGGATACTGCAGTCACAAAACACATCTTGCCTGCGCTGCTCGTTTAGCTGCTGCAGGAGGTAAGACTGATGAGAGGAGATCTCCATTCTGCAGGGGAGCCCAGTGGTCACCAGACAGGAGCTAAGAAACAAGCCTGGGGTGAGCTGGAGAAAACACGGATCAGAGGCTCGTTTCCCATCTCAACCTCCTTAGCAACACAGTCCCCAGACATCGGAAGATAACGGGGGTGGGGGTGGGGGTGGGGGGGTGTCTACAGGATCCGCTGCTGCTGGCCTCTAGTCTCTTGCTACTCAGAAGGCTGAGGCAGGAGGATCACAAGCTGGAGGCCTGCTTGAGTTACAGAGAGGGTTCAAGATCAGCCTGGAAAACTTGCAAGACTCTCAAAATAAAAAGTGAAAAAAAGGCTGCAAGTGTGTTCATATAGCAAAGAACCTGCCTAGCATATGGGGAAAAGGCCCATGATGATCTCTGGCATTGCAAACGAGACGAAACAAACAAACCAAAAAAAAAAAAAAAAAAAAAAAAAACCAAAACAAAGAACTGGCAGGAGAGGCTACCCTGGGCTACACAGCAAGACCATGTCTCCAAAAGACAAATACAAGAAAATAGCAGAGCCATAACTAGAATTTTCTACTTTACAAGTTGAGAAATACCCAATTAACAACTGTTTCCTCCAGAAAAAAGGCTATGTACTTTACTATCAGTGATGAAATAATAGAATTATGGAAAAATCAGTGAGAGGACACAGGACCAGAAGGTTCTTAGTTGAAAGAAGACAGAAGGCAGAGAGTCCAGGCTAGCCCCCGAAGAGGATCTGTCAGTGCTTATTCATGTCACATATGCCGTTTCTATTAACAGGGCCTTTGTTTCCATGAAAAGGGGAGACCTTACATGTCTGTATCAGTCCATCCCTGAGGGACACAGGACAGAAGCAGAAGAATGGAAGCAGAGGCCGCCGCGAAGGAACACTTTCCACTAGTGTTTGCTCAGTTACCTTCCTTATACAGTCCAGGACCACCTGCCCACACACGGCACTGCCCACAGCAGGCTTGTGCCTCCCACATCAATCATGAATCAAGAAAACCTCCACAGACATGCTGTCAGGCCAACTTCGTGGTAGCAATTCCTCAGCTGAGGATCCTTTTCCCAGGTAACTCTAGTTTGTGTCAAGTTGACAGACTAGACCATGTCTATGAGACTTGTTTTTGTGAGACAGGGTTTCCCTCTATAACAGCTCTGGCTGTCCTGGAACTCGATCCACAGTCCAGCTTGGTCTTGAACTCACAAAGATCCGCCTGCCTCTGCCTCACAAGTGCTGGGATTAAAGGCATGTGCTGCCACTACCTGGCTAGTTTCTGAATTTTTAATCATATTGTTAAAATTTAATTTTTTTTATGTGTGCTATGGCTGGAATATGGTTTGAGTCTGCCCCTCCTCACTACATGAAAGACAGCTAAAGACATAACTCAAGGCTGCACAAACACATTAATTCCCATTCTCCTTCCTCTTTTTTTCTCCTGTGTAGGCATTTTGCCTGCATTTCTGTCTGCATACCATGTGTGCCTGTTGAGGCCACAGAAGGTGCTGGATCCCCTGGGACTGGATTTATACATAGTTGTTAAGATACCCTGGGGGTGCTGGAACTGAACCTGGGTCCTCAAGAATTGAAGTAAGTGCCATTAATCTCTGAGCCATCTCTCCAGCCTCTAGGTCTATGTTTAAAAAGCTAATATCAGGCCAGGTTGTGGGGGCACATGCCTTTAATTCCTGAACTCTAGAGGCAGAGACAGGTGGGTCTCTGTGAGTTCAAGGCCAGCCTGGTCTACTGAGCAGAGTTCCAGGATAACCTCCAAAGCTACACCGAGAAACCCTGCCTTGAAAAACAAAAACCAAACAAACAAAAAGTTAATATTGGGCCAGAGTGAGGGCTTAAAGTTAGTTAAGAGCGCTTGATGCTCTTGCAGAGGACATCAGTACCCCACACCCACACAGGGTATCATAGCCGTCTGCAACTCCAGTTCCAGAGGAAATTCTGCCCTCTTCTGGTCTCCATGGGTACTGCAACCACATGGTGCATGGCACATACAGGCATGCAAGCAAACACTTGCATTCACAAAAAAATTAAAATAAAAAATTTTAAGTTAATTTTTCCATTAGGGAAATTTTGGTTTGTTTGTAAAGTTTCAGTAAAAATCGCTTTCCAGGCAGTTTGTGAAAGCTGAAAGTGGGTATCTGTGTTGGTAAGGGTTGCCACTGGTCACTATGTACAAGTTATGTAAACAGGCTCTAACTAAGAGTTATTGGGGAGCAGGAAGATCTCTAACATTAAAAGTAAAGTGGGCTGGGTGGTGGTGATGAACAACTTTAGTCCCAGCATTCTGGAGGCAGAGGCAGGAGGATCTTTGTGAGTTTGAGGCCAGCCTGATCTACAGACTGAGTTCCAGGGCAGCCAGGGCTACACAGAGAAACCTCGTTTTGAAAAGAACAAAAGAAATGCCTGATGCTAACTGGGATAATGGGGGTGCACACGCTTTCTTATGTTGCTGTAGTAAATTATCTGGCTGGAATATACAGAATAGCTTCTGCAGGTTTGGTTTTGTTTTGTGTTGTCTAGGATTCTTAGTATATCATTTCATTTGAGAGCCCAGAAATAAGCCCTCCACAACAGAGTTTGGGGGTTCATTGGACAACTGTTTGAGCTTGAGTAGATTATGACACCGGTGCCAATGAAATGGGAGATGAGGGTCACTGCCTGGCTCATTAGCTGTGTCTGCATTTTAAAGTCCAGGCTGCTCCCTGCAGTCATTATGATGAAGGAGAAGAGGATTCTGGGAAGCTAGCTACTGCTACTGCCAGGAAGCACCCAAGAGAGGAAAGGATAGGCTGCAGGCCTTAGACTCTCAGCTCAACTGACCATTAGGGAAACAGAGAACTAATGATTATCTCCTCATACGGCCAGAGGTGGAGACAGCAAAAAACCAGACACCCAAGCACATGCACTGCAAAGTAACCATGAAAGTTATTTTACACCTTGACCAAATTTCTTCTGCAACAAGCGTCAGTTAGCTACGAAGGAGAAGGACCTGACACTTGGAATGACAGTCAAACCTTGTAACTCTAAAGTCCCTTGAGTTCTCCACATACCCAGAAAGTAGGCTCTTTCCTCATTGAGAGTGTTACCTTCCTCCACTTTCCATTCCCCGCCGCCCCCCAGAGCCTAGGATGGTTGGCCTCAAACTCAGGACCCTTCAGCCTCAGCCTCTCAAGTGCTAGACTATAAGGAGGTGTCATGACTTCTAGTTCCTCTCTTTTTTCTTTTTCTGAGATATAGGGGTGTGCTGATTTGAATAAGAATTGCCCCCACAGGCCCATATATTTTAATGTGTAGTCATCCGGGAGTGGCACTATTTAAAAAGAATCAGAAGGATTAGAAGTGTGGCCTCCCTCATTGGAGGAGGTGAGTCACAAGGAGTGGGTGCTAAGGTTTCAAAAGCCCACATTAGGCCCAGTCTGTCTGTCTGTCTGTCTTTTTCTCTCTGCATGTGAAATCAGGATATAGCTCTCAATTACTGCTCCAACACTGAATACTGTCATGCTCCCTATCACAATCCCCTCCCCCAATAGGAGCTAAATCTCAGATGTTATGTCATTTCCTAAGGTCATACAGCCATTGCTGACTGTCCACATCTGGAAAGCACTGACCTCCTCTAATATCTATTCTATACAGCTGCATCCATGTACACTTTATGTTGTGTATAAAACCTACTTGGGAATCTGCCTAAAACCAAAATGATGATAAGGGACTAAACCCTCAAAACTGAAAGACTCCAATTAAATGTTTTCTCTTATAGGAGTGGCCTTAGTCAGAGTGTCTCCTCACAGCAAGAGAACAGTGACTAAGGCAGAAATTGGTACCAGAAGTGGGGTATTGCTGTGACAGCCCTGACTATGCTACTTGCCCAAAGAATGTATACTTTGGGACTTTAGATCAGCAAAGCAATTGACTGCTTTAAGCAGAGCTTAAAGGTCCACACTAGTAGAAACATGGAAGACAGTAGTTCGAGAGCAATATAAATTAGAACGGCTAGCTCAAGAAGTTGGGGGGGGTGGACTGGAGAGATGGCTCAGAGGTTAAGAGCACTGACTGCTCTTCCAGAGGACCTGAGTTCATTTTCCAGAAACCATATGGTGGCTCACAACCATCTGTCATGAGATCTGGTGCCCACTTCTGGTGTGTAGGCAAATATGCAGTCAGAACACTGTATATGCAATAAAAATAAGTAAATAAATTTAAAAAAAAAGTTGAGGGGATTAGAATATTAGTAAGTGGCCTAGAGACTATTCTTGTGATATTTTGGGAAAGAATTTGACTACTTTTTGTCCTTGTCCTAAAAATCTGCCTGAGGCTAAATTAGAGAGTTCTGGATTATGGTAGAGATTTCAAGACAGCCTGGTACTGACTTCATCATGTGGTTATTAGTATCACTCTTATAAGGATCTACAATGAAAAGGAGAAATCTGGAAAAAGAGAAATACAAAATGTACAGTCTGAGAAGAAAAAGAGCTCCAGGAAGTGTAATGAAGCTAAGTCCAGTGCTCAAGTAGATTAAAAAGTTTACAGAAAATCCTGATGCTTCCAGGTAGTATTGGCACATGCATTCTGGGAGGCAGAGACAGGTGGATCTCTGTGAGTCCAAGGCCAGCCTGGTCTACAGAGTGAGCTCCAGGACAGCCAGAGCTACACAGAGAAACCCTGTCTCAAAAAACCAAAAGAAGAGGCTGGAGAGATGTCTCAGAGGTTAAGAGCATTGGCTGCTTTTCCAGGGGCTCTGAGTTCAATTCCCAGCAACCACATGGTGGCTCACAAACATCTGTAGTGGGATCTGAAGCCCTCTTTTGGCTTCCAGGAATACATGCAGACAGAACACAGTATACACACAGTATACATAATAAATAAATCTTTAAAAAAAAGAAAAGAAAAGCCTGATGCTAAATGGATTAACAAGATTGGCGACTTCAGGGCAAGACCCCACCCAGCTAAGGTTCCAACTTGTAAAATGAATTAAAAACTGGGCAAGCAGTTTATGGATAGGAGAAATATAAAATGTGCTTGGTCTGTC